GTCTTTGCACTCTGCTTCTGGCCAGAGTCAGGGCTCGGCAACTGCCTAATTTAAGTATGAGAAAGACACATGGTCACATGCCTAGGCCCTCTTCCTGCTGCCTGTAACCCAGCACCCTCAATAAGCAACTGTTGCCACCCCTCCGGCCCTGCTGTGAGAGCCCCTCAGCAGACATTTCCAGTGTGATTATTGCATCAGGTGGACCTGTGCTAGGGAAATCAGCACAGAATGTCTGAATATTTCATGAGCATCTCACTCATGAGCACTTAATGCACGTAACTCAGGAGAGCGTATTCACACCAGCTCTGGATACCAGGAGACCTGCACCAGAGGGTACATGGTCATTCAGAGGCTGGTTGGTGTGTTCTCTGAGGAGTTCTGCTCCTCACTTGGGTCCTTTGCCTCCAGTGGGTGGTGTCCACCTGCCTCCATCTCCAGAGGGCCTCTGCAGTGATGAGCATCCTAGTTCTTAGCAGCTCAGGTCGAGGTCCATAACAAGGAACAAAAGCATTGAGGTCAGGAGTTCGAGACTAGTCTGGCCAACATGGTGAAACCCTATCTCTACTAAAAATATAAAAATCAGCTAGGTGTGGTGGCACACACCTGTATTCCAAGCTACTCGCGAGACTGAGATAGGAGAATCGCTTGAACCCAGGAGGTGGAGCTTGCAGTGAGCTGAGATTGCACCACTGCACTCCAGCCTGGGAGACAGTGAGACTCCATCTCAAAAAAAAAAAAGAAAAGAAAAGAAAAAGAAAAACATACTGTTATAGAGTCTGTTTATAGCCTTCCTGTTTATTAAATAAATGGTGAGGTGGTGTTTCCCTTTGCTCATTTAAAAAATAATATTTGACTGCCTACCCTATTCTGTGTTGGAGATACAATGGTGAGGAAGATCAAAGTCCCTTCTTTCCTGGAGCTTATGTTTTAGTAGAGGAGAGAAAACAAACACATAAGTCAAATCAGATAGCGATAATTGCCATGAAAAAAATAGGATAAGAAGATAGGGACTGGGCAAGGGAGGAGGTGAAACTCCATGCTTTAGATAGGGAAGAGCTTGTTGGGAGGTAGCATTTGAGCTGAGAGCTAAACAATATGTAGAAATTTGGTTGGCCAGGCATGGTAGCTCATGCCTATAATCTCAGGACTTTGGAAGCCTGTGGCAGGAGGATCGCTTAAGGCCAAAAGTTTGAGACCAGTTTGGGCAACATAGACCCTATTTCTGCACAAAAATAAAAACACAAGCTGGTTGTGGTGATGTGTACCTGTAGTCCCAGCTACTTGGGAGGCCGAGGTGGGAGGAGGATAGGTTGAGCCCAAGAGTTTAAAGCTTTAGTGAGCTAGGATTGTACCCCTGCACTCCAGCCTGTGCAACAGAGCAAGACCCTGTCTCTAAAAAGGAGGGTTTTTATTTTTTTTTTTAATTAAAATTTTTAAAAATCAGCCTAGACAAAGGAAACAGCAAAGGAAAAGGAACCCGTGGAGCAGACAGGAGTTTGGCATATTCCAGGGGAAGAAAGAAGGCCAGGAGTGTGAATGGAGCATAGTGAATGAGGGGAAGGAGTGTGAATGGAGCATAGTGAATGAGGGGAAGGAGTGTGAATGGAGCATAGTGAACAGGGGAAGGTGGTCGGGTGAGGCAAGATCGGATCAGTGGTTCTCACTCTGACTGCACAGTAGAATTACCTGAGGAACCTAAAGTTGCCGTTGTGCAAGCCCCACCCCCAGAGATTGTGATTGTGATTGGTTTGGGGTGGGGCCTGGGCATCTGTAGTTTATAAAAGCTCCCCAGGAACATGTTGCAGCCTGAACTGAGCACATCAGTCTTGATCATGCAGAGTTTTACAGACTCTGGTAAGGAGTTGGGACTTTACATGAATGATGATGGGAAGCCATTAGACAGTTTGAGCTAGAAAAATAACTTGTTCTGATCTGCGCTTTTAGGAGGCTAACTTTGGTGACCACAGGGAGAGTGGAGGTAGGAGATTTACAGTGGTCCAGTTGAGAGATGATGATGGCTTAAAGCAGGATCGTATCAGTAGAGATGGTAATAAGAGGTCAGTTTGAGGATAAGTTTTGGAGGTTGTGGTCACAAGATGAATTGGATTTAGTATGCCAGGCAAAGGCATGGAAGGTTGCCTCAGAGCTCACCTGAGTAACTGGGTGGATAGAGGTGCTATTCATGGAAATGAGAGAGATCGGGAAGGAACAGGTTTGAGAAGTAGGTGGAATAGTTGTGTGTACTGGTTGGAGTGAAAGCCTTAGGCTGACCTCTCTAGATTTAGGTAATTTACAGATAGAGGCGACAAGATGAGGTTGACTAAAACATTCTGAGAAGTCCTGTTCCTGTTGTGCCAAGAGTTTTCTTGAAGCCTTCCAAAGGTAAGTCCCAAAAGCAGTTGACCATTTTAGTCCATGGAACCTGTGGTGAGAAGCATGCAGCAGAGAAGAAGAAAATGGAAGACACCGAGCAACTTTCATGCAGGGTCAGGCTGGATGTAGGGGAAGAATATACTCTGAAAGATTACATATAATCAGTCAGCATCTGCCCTGCAACAATAATTGAATGGCGTGGCGATAGACAGAATCCAAAATAGCTGGTTACAAACTTTGTATTTGACTTTAAGGGGAGTTTTTTTTTCCCAACAAAATTGTCTTCTGAGATACGTCTGGGTCACATTATAATTATTTTTTTACTTCTCTGACCAGGCCCTGGATGTCCAGCAATTCAAAGCAACCCAAGTTTTTAAGTCAAAATCAAATGATTAGAATTGGTTGCCTTATTGGAGAACAATAAGGAATTTGTTAGAACAGTTTTTTTTTTCCCCGATGAAAGAACATGGATTAAATTGCAACGGTGGAGCATATTGATTGGTTCTGTCATGGAAAAGTCTTGGTTTTAGGCTCATTGAGGGCGAGGACTATCTCTTACACAGTTTCTATTTTTCAAAATACCTAGCATCTCTGCTCATTCTGAGACTTTTTGTTACATTTAGTAAAGTTACGGGATCTTTCCGCAGTTAGTGCTTGTCTGAATGACTGAGCAGACAGGTTGACCAGAGGCTCTGGAAGTGCCAACAGCCTCTTCTGGGCGTTTCTTTGTTCTTACTGAAGAAACTCAAGATGTGGCTGCTTTGAGTGAAAGACAAGAGAATTCAGAAAATGACCATCGTCTGAAACTGCTTAATAAAAAGAGCTTTGCACTGGCTCCAAGCCTCAGAGACAGTGCCTGTGAGGTTAGGCAGGCTGGCATGAGCTTTGAAATGTCAAGCTCCATTGCCATCCCATTACCTGAATGGGTCCCTCATGGTAAGCAAAACAGAGAGCATTTGTTGCCCTGTGTAACACATTTTGTCTTCATTCACTCACAGACAACTGCAGTGACCTGAACTCAGAACTGCAGAGGGTGCTGACGGGGCTGGAGAATGTCGTCTGCGGCAGAAAGAAGAGCAGCTGTAGCCTCTCCGTGGCCGAGGTAGACAGGCACATCGAGCAGCTCACCACGGCCAGCGAGCACTGCGACCTGGCGATTAAGGTAGACCTTCCTCGCCCTCTGTGAGGCCCTGTGAGGTTCTCAAAGGGAAATGGTCCAATCCTTCTCTTGAAGCGCAGTTTTCTTAAATACTTACTAGGGATGAAAGTTTCCATGAGAGCCATACAATAGATTGGGCCATGGGGTAGAAATGGGGACCCTAGAAATTTTGGTTGGGCTGAATTATTTCAGAAAAAGTCATGATGTCAGCAGTCAGGTTCACTGGCTTTGCAGTAAAAAGGACAATTTACTTGGAAACTATTCGACTGCTAGTATTGAACCATGTCATTTTAGTGTGGTTCATCATAGAGCACTCTTAAGCTGTAAGTTTTGGAAAAGCTCTAAGGCCTCTAGAATACAATTTCAGGAGTCCATTCATCAATTCCTCTTGCTGTTTGAGATGGTGAGAGGAATTTGTTGCATCTGCACAAACTCGTTGTGAATGACGGGAAAGTCAAGGCTTGTTGATACTAGGCCTCTAGTACCTTGATATTCCTTTGACATAAGTTAGTGACCTGGGCATAGCAATTCAAATTTAAAAGTCTAGGAGGAGCCCATAAAGAGAAAATGTAGGCCCAAGTTTCTATCAGTAGGAATCCTGGATTGCACAAAAGAACTGTGGTGTCACAAGGTAAACCATGATGCATGTTTGTAACACTGCTGGTTTTCCATCTTTCTGCATCTCAATTGCAAATGTGTAGTTGATGTGGTTCAGGGCAGGGAGAAGCAATTGCTGGTGTTTCTTTCTCTGGAATCTCCTGGGCCCTGTATTTGATTTTGGTGTCAACTTGGGTCTAGCCCCAGCCTCGGGGTTGAGAGGGAAGGAGGAGGCCAAGGGCCTCTACCAACCATCTAGGGATAAAGCCACAGGGTCTGGAGCAGAGCCAAGTAGGATGAGAGTCTCCAGACTTAAAGGAAGGACAAAGCAGCACATGGGGAAAGGGGCAGCAAGATTTGAGAACCAACATGAGCATCTAAGAGTGATGTACCCTTATGTTTTTTAGTATTTGAGGCATTCTCTTCTCTTCTCTTCCTTTTTTTTTTTTTCTTTGAAGATGGAGTCTCACTCTGTCGCCCAGGCTGGAGTACAGTGGCGTGATCTCAGCTCACTGCAACCTCCACCTCCCAGGTTCAAATGATTCTCCCTGCCTCAGCCTCCCGAGTAGCTGGGATTACAGGTGCACGCCACCACGCCCGGCTAATTTTTGTACTTTTAGTAGAGACAGGGTTTCACCATGTTGGTCTGGCTGGTCTTGAACTCCTGACCTCAGGTGATCCACCCGCCTGGGCCTCCCAAAGTGCTGGGATTACAGGTGTGAGCCACGACACCCGGCCAGCCTTCTGTTTCTTATCCCATCTCTTCACATAGTATTCTGCATAGTAATTCTCCCTCTTGTTTCATTATCCACTGGCTTGTGCTTCCTTTTTCAAAGGACAGTAAATGTGAAGCAGAATGACTTCTTCCTTTTTTTTCCTAATATTATGCATGTTTCTTCTTCTTTAAATGTTTTTAAATGAATTTTTTAAAGCTCTGTATGTGCTACTAAGATTTTCCTTTCCATTTTGAAGCTGTGTTATTAATTAATTTAATCCCTGCTGTCTTAGAAATCTCCACAATGAGCTTCCTCTTTTCTGTGTCAATGAGGTTTATTTTTGCCTTTCACATCTTGAGACTGAACCTCATTTGCACCATCTGAATTTGGATGTGGCACTAAAAGCTGGAAATGGTAATGTGACCTATCTTATCGCTGAGTTGGCACGTGGGAGGCCTATAATTTAGGAAGCTTCAAGTTAGATTTTGTATGCAGTTTACAACCTCATGTTTGTCCTCACATTACCAGGATCACTAAATGGCCTTCTGCCTGGCTGTGTGTATCCACCAACTCTAGAACTCAAGTGAAGGAAATAAGCATTGTGTGGATGTGTCAGCTAGCACCACAGACAGACTCAGCTGCCAGGAGAGGACTCACTGTTTTTCTTACTCTGAAGGTTGCTGGGTAACACAGACTGTACCCCAGGCAAGTGACAGAGCCTTATCTGAAATTGGGAACAGGATAACTTTGGGGTATCCCTAGTCACGATCACTGTTAATAACAAAGTGGTTCTAGAACACACTCCTCTATGGACATTTATTCCTGTTCAGCCTATTTTCTTCCCATCCGCTTTCTCCAAGGTAACTTACTTGACTTTTCTTTGGGGCTGTGTTTTACAGACAGTTGAGGAGATTGAGGGGGTGCTTGGCCGGGACCTGTATCCTAACCTGGCTGAAGAGAGGTCTCGGTGGGAGAAGGAGCTGGCTGGGCTGAGGGAAGAGAATGAGAGCCTGACCGCCATGCTGTGCAGCAAAGAGGAAGAGCTGAACCGGACCAAGGCCACCATGAATGCCATCCGGGAAGAGCGGGACCGGCTCCGGAGGAGGGTGAGCGTGCTGCATCCATAATGGCCAGGCCCTTCCCGGGCATGGGGCTGAGAGAGGCTGGTGTGTAGCACCAAGGGCACCGTGAGAATTTTGTGGCATTTGTAATCTTGGGAATCACTATGTCTTTCTTGTTATGAAGTCATTCTTGAAAGTAGTTTGAAATCGCTAAGGTGTAGAGGTAAGATTTAAAAAAAAAACACACACTTTTCTCTGGAATCTTAAATCTGACTGGTTGATAAAATTACATCGGGGCAGTGATTTTAAACTTTCCAGGGTAAACACGTCTTTTCTAAGCTCAATTAAAATGTTCTTTAAGATAAACTAATAGTCTTTAGAATTTGAAAAAAAATCGAATTTGCCCCTTTTAATTTTTTTCTACAAAATTTTATTTAGCTTTATAGCACCTGCTCTCATTTACTTATACTGAATCTAATGTAGAATGTCATCTCTCCTGGTGCAGACTTACTGAAGTTAAAATACATTGTGTGCATGTATGTATGTGTATCTCTTTAAGCGTGCATATTATGTGTGTGTCTCTGTGTTTACAGATGTGTACGTGTGACTCCTGCTATTCACCCTAGGGCTTGATCTAGTTTGAGTACCATTTTGTTTAGGACATGTATCCATTACTGAAGGAGGTGATGTTTCAGGATAGAAATGTTTGGCAGAATTGTTAAAGCCTTTAGTTTTTCCAAGATGAAGTTTTTAATCCCGGGAACCCACAAACACTTCTGTGTTTGGCTGTGAGTTTGATCTATGATTGGGTAGGGGGGTAAAGCAATGAATTCTTCAAACACTTCCGTCTGAACTTCACTTTGAATTACTAGACTTACTTGACTCTCTTTCTCCGTCTTGGCAATATTAGAAGCTTGTTTTCTAGTTGTGCTCTGACTGCTAATTTTGTACACAGATAAAGTTGACTTAGAAGGGGAAAAATACTGGCTGGGCGCAGTGGCTCATGCCTGTAATCCCAGCACTTTGGGAGGCCAAGGCAAGCAGATCACAAGGTCAGGAGCTCGAGACCAGCCTGGACAATGTGATGAAAGCCCCGTCTCCACTAGAAATACAGAAATTAGCCGGGCGTGGTACTGTGTGCCTGTAGACCCAGCTACTTGAGAGGCTGAGGCAGGAGAATCGCTTGAACCCGGGAGGTGGAGGTTGCAGTGAGCCAAGATCATGCCACTGCACTCCAGCCTGGGCAACAGAGGGAGACTCCATCTCAAAAAAAAAAAAAAAAGGGAAAAATACATCTAGTGGGTCTCATCATCCTTCACCATTGCTCTTGCTCCCTTAGCCATAAAAAAGACCTTGTAAATAACTTGCTCTTCTATCCTTCAACAAGCTTGGGATGTGTACATCGTTTTGTTTTTAATCCATTTGTAAGTGTTCTTACTTGCCATTATATAAAAATATGGAAGAAATTACTATTTTTGAATGTTATCAACTCTTCCTCATTTGAAAAATATGGAAGAAATTACTATTTTTAAATGTTATCAACTCTTCTTCATGTGTGCTAATGTCATAATTAAAAGGCTGGCACTACTGCCTCTCATATCTGAACATCATTTTGTCTTAACTCACGTGCATAAGCATATTTTCAGTATGCAGCTATATCGGATGCCAGTCTCCATCCTTGCATCAGCAGGTGTAAATCATCCCAGTCAGCAAAGGCTTTATCTGGGCAACATGACGAAATTTGCTTAGCACTAAAGCTCACGCCACCTGTAATTTCCTGGGTTACACTCCCCGATGATTATGATTGATGCCCTAATTAGGTATGTACTTACTCTTAGCGTGTGCATTCTGATGGTGCATGTTTTGTGAGGGAAATTGTTGGTGTTCAGTGTAATTACATATTGTGGTTTAGAATGAATTTTCTTCTCTCATTTGCCAGCCCTTGATTGACTAGCAAAAAGTAAAAAGTCCCCTTCCCCACTTTCCATTGTTTTCTCCAACTCTGGAGGTCAGTATTTAGAATAGCACAGTGCGGAGGCACTGCACTAGGTACCAGGGCTGTGGGGCCAGACTGCCTGGGTCATGCATAGCCTGACCTGCCAAGTCCCTATGAGTCTTTGGCATTCAGTCATTTTTTTAAATAGGAATCCTTAGATGTTTGAAGAACTCTAATGTGGACATTGGATAATTACACACACACACATACAGGCCTACACACACAGACACATTTTAGTCAAAACCTTTCTTCCAGTCACATCTGTTACCTTTTATAAGTTTGTGCAACTAGTGTATATAGTTTTTATTTCAGTTACCTTCAAATGATGTTAACTTTTATTTCTTCCTCAACTAGAGATACTCTCAGGAATGTATATACATACCATGAATTGTCTTTCTATTTCAAAACGAGTGTGGATCTCAAAAAGTGTACTAGATGCATTTGAATGCCTGTTTACTAGACTTTAAGTGCCGAAAGTCTTCTTCCAGCCGCCACCCGTCCACCCACCAAGTGTGCTTTATTTCCCTCAGGAGGGATCTGTCCTTTGTGGTTGTCATTGTCTTCTGTTCTTCACGATGTGTAGCTCTGCAGAGCAACTGAGGTGCCATTTTTTGTTTATCCCTATGACAGTACAGAGTACAAGGCTGGTTCGCCTTTGCTGTCTTTATAGCAGCTCTGAATCCACAGTTCATCAAAGTTCCCTGACGAGCAGCTGGGACCACTTTCTTTTTTTCTTTGCCCACATTCATTGTATAGAATTTTAACTGACCAGATCAATAGGATTGGTGCTTGAACCCCGCCTGTAATTAAGCAAAGTGCTCTCTGTAGATCTTCTGAGCTTTGTTCAAGATTTAATTAAATTAGATCTTTAATGTAGTCAGTTAACAAATTGGGCTAGTGGCAGAGCAGTAACTAAGGAACAACAGGCAATTTTATTATTGGTCCTAGTTCATTATTGAATGAGGCAATCATTTATTTCTGTATGCTCTGTAATGCAGCCATGTATTTCCTCACACATAAAGAAGTGGGCTTAATGTAGGCAAGGGAGAATTACTCTAGAAAGGAAGTACTTTATTCTTCATTCATTCATTCATTTCATAAACATGGTCGGTCATCTCTGTGCCAGGCAGAGGGGTTACAATGATGAACAGGACACAGTCCCTGGCTTCAAGGATATTGGGGAGACAGGCAAGTAAACAGATCATTGCAAAGGTATATGTCAGGTGGTGGGGACAGGTAAACACAGAGAGTGCCCTGAGAGCTCCCCAGAGAGTCGCGTGATGGCAGGAACCACTTTCTCCACGTTGTTCCCATTTTTTTAGCTACTTTGTTTAAGTCAACCACGATGTGGCAAAAATAATCAGTGCTTTCCGCACTGTGTTTGGCAAAGCAAACTTGATGTGACCACAGGCACATGAAACTGTGTCCCACTGAATCATAGACTTGAACACAAATCGGCCACATAAGTTCCTTCTGAGATTTTGTAGGAATTCTTCAGAATTACAAAATTCTTCTGCATGTTCATGTCATAAGGTGTTAACAATTTCTTCCTCACACAGTGTGCTCTACCTGGGTGCTTTCTGCATGTCTGGGAATGAATTCCATCTGTCTCTCCCGGGCTTCTGTCATCCTGGGAGTCTGGCTTCTGGCTTCATTGCCACAGTAAATTCAAGAGACAAGTAGACATGCTATTTTGAACCAAATAAAAGTCACCCTTGGCCAGGTGCAGTGGCTCACGTTTATATTTCTAGCACTCTGGGCGGCTGAGGCAGGAGGATTACTTGAGCCCAGGAGTTTGAGACCAGCCTGGAAGTGTAACTGTTGTGATCTTATAGAGGTTAAATAGTCATCCGTGTTTTCCCTCACATCTCCTTTAGCCTCGTTTGGCCATGGTCCCATCTGAGCTGGTCCCACTCTACCTCCCCTCGGTGTTGCTTTTCTCGACCACAGGGCTATATAGAGAAAATGCAGACTGCAAAATAGTACCTTATTATGAATTTCTAGCTGTATACATTTCCATTTCATAGATATTCATATGTGTGTATATAAAAATATTGAAAATAGACCAGAAAAATATAAACAAACATCATAATGATAATATGTTATATTGGCCTCAAAGGGACCTTAAACTTCTCTATAATGTTCTAATTTATTTTTTAAATGAATGTATTCATATCGTTGTATAATTTTTCATATGCAGAAGTATATACATAGAAATAGAGAGGACACTAGTATGCTAAAATATAACAGGTTAAATCTGGGCAGTGGAAGTATGTGATTGCTTTTTTCTTCTTTGTCCTCTTTAATTTCCAAATTAAGCAAAAACAAAAAAGTATGGATCATAGAGAATGATCTGTATCTCACAGCTTTTAACAGTTTGGTATTCACATATAAACTGAGTCTTCTTTTTTGTCCTTTATTGAACTTTGTTCATTTCTTATTTGTTCCATTTCTTCATAGGAATTTCTTTACAGGATAAGGAAGAGGTTGCCAATATTAACTGAGTTTAAATCCATAAAAGTTCTGTAAAAACAAGCTCTGTCTCAACACTGCTCCTCTTAGCTCTTCCCAGCTCTCATCTAGCTGCATGGGAGGGAGCTGAGAGGAGCCGGGTCTGGCTTCAGTGTGCTCCTTCCAAATAGAAGGCTCAGGTGGCTCTTCTTTTGTGTGACTGGTATATTAGTCAGTATGAGGCTAGGTTTTTCTGCAGTAACAGGTTCACTTCCCAAATCTCAGTGGCATGGCACATTGTTTCTTGCCCATACCATATGTTCAATGCAGGTTAGAGGACAGGTGCACATTTCTGATCCATACATTCACTCAGAAACTCAGACTGTTGGCCGGCTACCACCTAAGAGCCCACTCAAAAGCTCCCACCACAGCATTTATTTTTTTATTTTTTTTTTTATTATACTTTAAGTTCTAGGGTACATGTGCATAATGTGCAGGTTTGTTACATATGTATACTTGTGCCATGTTGGTGTGTTGCCCCCATCAACTTGTCAGCACCCATCAACTCGTCATTTACATCAGGTATAACTCCCAGTGC